AACGTCCCGGAGAACACGGCGACGGGGACAGTAATCTTCACCGTCCTACCAACTACAGCTACTTGGACGTACGCTTTGGCTCCTGCCGGGAGTCCCTTCAGCGTTAACGGCGGGGGGTCAGTGCAGGTAGCCTCTGCCCTGGACTTTGAAACAGATCCAGGACCACATATACTGACCATCACGTGAGTAGATCATCTTGGTGGATCGACACGTCACCTCTCAGTGTCTGAAGATGTACTATACGCGGGATACCTGGGTATGGGCAGGTCTTTAACAGGGGATACAACCATCGGGTGGTGCAGCCGTGTAATGTGGAGTCGCGTACTTGCATCTAATCTATCTAACGCCTAAATTGCTCCATGTGTCCCATCTTCAACACAGCATTATCTTCATGGCTACTAGTTTGTAAATGATATATCGGCAGGTCTGAATATCGTAATTCACATCTGTGAGTATTAAGAGCCGAAAGTATGAATATCGCAATACAAACCGAAAAGTACGGATGTCATAATACAAACCCGTCGCTGATATCACGGGAATTAAAGGACTCTCTGAATATATTTGTGTTTTCTTGTCAAAGTTTTCTCCACCGAGTGGCGTGGTTGTCATGGTCAGTTCGTAAGTTTTGTTTTATTTTTAGTTTATTGCTGTACCCAACAATATTTCAGCTATATACGGCGGTGTAAATAATCGAGTTTGGAAACGACTATTGTGATCATATTTATATATGAAGACATATGCAGTGGCATTTATCACTAAATACATAAATATAACCATCAGAGAGGTATGAAGAGTTTACAAAACAAATAATTAGAATCCCATTTTCCAGGGTTACCGACGCCGCCGATCCTCCCCCAACGGACGTCACACTTACAGTCATCGTCACCAACGTGTACGACGAGGCCCCCACCATTACGGGGACGTTCACCGCGACGACAGATGAGGAGGTGGCGGTGGGGACGACCCTGGCGGTGGGATACACCGTCAGCGACGTAGAAACGGCTAACGGCGATGTCCTCACCTACAGCCTGCTGGGTGAGTGAGTTAACATCCGGGCCCCGTTTCACAAAGTATGCGTGTAGTAACGTGGTGTTAAACACAAGTAAAATACGCAAGTTAAATACAGATCACTCCGTGAAATGAGAACTACATCACCTGTAATTACCAGTCCCGGATCCACTTGAACAAAGGGATCTTAGCAGTACGACGAGCCTATGTAAAAGTATAGGATTCACAAATGTCGTAACGCTAAGATAGCTTTCTTCAAGTGGATCCTAGTCATTACGTTTAATCGAACGCATATTGTGAATAGACAGTTAGTTTTTAGTCCATGTTTTTCGTGTATTGTTCAGTAAACATATTGTTTTAAGTTTCGGTGATCAAATAAAATATATCTGTGGGACAATAGTCGGTTTAGGTAAAATGAATCTAGTAAATATATATGGGTCAGCAGTCTTTGTTTATTGACGTATCTCACTTTGATTTTGATAACGAAATTTAGACAACATGGTAAGATACCGTTTTTACTTTATTGAACGATTCTAAATTTTGGGTTTGCCGGATAATAATAAAATGTTTAAGAAGACATGGCAGGTGAAAGAGCAGCCACCTCATGGTCACTCCCTCTCGTACAGGTCCCGACACAGCATATTTCCAAATTGACGCCAGCACTGGCGTCATCAGCATCAGGGACCGCATCGACCATGATGCTGCAGGGATCACCAGCCTCTCCATCACCGTGCAGGTGACTGACAGTGGGGGCAACACTGCGTCACAGGCGATCGCCATCACCGTCAACGACATCAACGACAACACGCCTGTCTGCTCACCCAGCACCATCTTTGCCAGTGCTGCAGAGAACAGCGGCACAGGTCATACGTTCTTCCAGACATCGTGCTTGATTTACCAGTGACATCATTCTTGACTGCATCGTCATATCATTCCTGATTATATCGTCATATCATCCTTGACTATATCGTCATATCATTCTTGATTATATCGTCATATCATTCTTGACTATATTGTCGTATCATTCTTGATTATATCGTCATATCATACTTGATTATATCGTCATATCATTCTTGACTATATCGTCACATGATTTTGGACTATATCGTCATATCATTTTGACTATATCGTCATCGTCATATCATTCTTGATTATATTGTCATATCATTCTTGACTATATTGTCGTCATTCTTGATTATATCGTCATATCGTCATCGTCATATCATTCTTGACTATATTGATTATATCGTCATATCATTCTTGATTATATTGTCTTGATTATATCGACTCATCATATTTCTTGATTATATCGTCATATCATTAATTTCTGATTATATCGTCATATTATTCTTGATTATATCGTCATATCATTCTTGATTATATCGTCATATCATTCTTGGTTATATCGTTATATTCCTGATTATATCGTCATATCATTCTTGATTATATCGTCTTATCATTCCTGATTATATCGTCATATCATTATTGATTATATCGTCATATCATTCTTGACTTACTCATGACATTATGCTTGATATTTCCGATTCATCATTCCGGATTTACCCTAACACCGATCTTCATTTACCCGTAACACCGATCTTCATTTACCCGTAACACCGATCTTCATTTACCCGTAACACCGATCTTCATTCTAACACCGATCTTCATTTACCCTCACACCGATCTTCATTTACCCGTAACACCGATCTTCATTTACCCGTAACACCGATCTTCATTTACCCGTAACACAGATCTTCATTTACCCGTAACACTGTGATTGACCTATGTCATCGTTCTTCATTTGTCGAGGCGGTTGGGTAGCCCAGTGGTTAAAGCGTTCGTTTGTCACGCCGAAGACCCGTGTTCGATTCCCCATATCGGTACAATATCGACGTAAAACCATACTCACTCACTATTCGTTTGTCCATTCCATCGTTCGCCATTCACGTTTTATACAGTTCTTGATTTGGCTGTTGAACAGTTTTGAGGTTGTTGTTTTTATTAAGCTGTTACATGGTTCTTCATTTCTCTGTGTCATGGTTCTGGTTCCTCGTTTAGCTCTAACACGGTTCTTCCTATATGTTCTTCCTTGATTTACCTGCTACTTACTGTCTTAAATTCTTCGTTTTCCCGTTACATCATATCCTACAATTTGTCCCTCTGCATTCTGCTTGTAGGAACCAATGTTGCTAGTGTTGCATGCACAGACATTGATAGTCCACCCAACAGTGACATCACATACTCCATCTTTAACGGTGACGACGCCAACCCCAACGAGAAGTTTGCTCTGGCCGGTACCGCTGTTCAGACGACAGCCACGGCCTTGGACTTTGAGACCAAGTCAACGTACACGTTGATCGTTCACGCAGTCGACGCACCTGCTACCGGCACCCCCAGGACGGGGACGATCACAGTCACCGTGCAGGTGTGTATGTAGCCCCTGCAAATACCATGGCAACTGCCACAAGCACCATGACTTGTACCACTTTGGATATTCCTCCAACATAACGCTAACAGGCCGAGATATCACTGGAGCGCTGCTCAATGTATTCACTACCTGTATCCGCGACCACGACAACCACAACACCTCGTGCTGTTAACACATCTACAAGGCCCCTTCTGTAACTAAGGGTATCGTATCGGTCTGAAGAGCCACAAATGGTTGTGTATCATTGCAAGACACTACAATCGTATGACACTAGCTCAGTACAACAAGCTTAGTACGACACTACATAGTACACTACCCTTCAACAGCACAACACTAGTGGTGGTGTGTGGCCTTGTGCATAGAGCCCAGGTCACAAATAGTTGAAGTTAAGCAACGCTGGTTGTGGAGAGTCCTTGGATGGGTGACCGTGTTTAGTAGCTTGACTCCTGAGAGTTTCTAGGACTTCCGTCCTGTCCCACAACGAGGCACTCTTCACACGCCCCTTTTACAGTACCAGACTACAGTTCTACACTACCCTTCTACAAAACAATCCTAGTCCATCACTCCCTTCTACAACACAGCCCCTGTTCGACACGATCCTTCTACAACAATAGTATGACACTACCTTACAACACAATCCTAGTACGACACTACCCTTCTACAACATAACAATAGTTCGACACTATCCTTCTACAACACAATAGTACGACACTCTCTTCTACAACACAATAGTACGACTCTCCCTTCTACAACACAATAGTACGACACTATCCTACTACAACACAATCCTAGTTCGACACAACCCTTCTACAACATAACCTTAGTACAACACAACCAAGTACCAGTGTACCCTAAGAACCACTCAACTCTAGTACGACACTACCTGTACACAGTGGTCACAAGCTCAGGTCACTTATACATACGTACGTGTATCACTGTGTCAATATCAGCTCGACTTCACCTCAAACACAAACTGAATACCAGGATAAACGTAGGCGGGTTTCAGAAAGGTATTGCCACCCCTATACTCCAGCATATGTAACCTAACTTGCAGGAATTGTGCCATCGCATGAATTGCATTGATTCATTATCTTACATTTTTACATATGTTAAGTACTTCATGCCGTCATAGATGTAACAAAATTACAGGCAAATGTAAATTTGTTCGTTTTACATATATATTGGATCTCCTGATTTACCACATATGCATGTATCATGTTTTGTTTTGTTTTTCTACGACATTAATGAACATATGATATCAATATGACTGATAGGTAATAACGTTTCTAAGCCAAAAAACTAAATTATGCTCTGTACAGGTGCCTTCTGTGAATGAAGCCGACCCGGTCTGGGGGACTAGTGTGCCGGCTGGTCCCACTTTCCCCGTGCCAGAGTCGTATCCCCTTGGTACTTCCATCGTTACCATAGCAGCAACTGACGCTGACCTCGGAGCTGACGGAGCCATAACGTACCAACTCGTTTCAACTACAACGAGTAAGTCGTCTCTGCCGGTTATTTAACCAGTTGATAGAATTTAAGTTAGGGCCTCTGGTCAGGATATACAATGGATGCATGTAGGTTTTCAAATACAGTTAATTATGATGACATTATACAGCTGATGCTCAATCTAAACTATTCGACGTTGATGTCACTGTGCAGATGGAGGAGCAGCTGTAACCGGCATTTTTACATTAAATGCGGCAACGGGCGAGATGAAGACAGCGTCGACACTTGACAGAGAGAGCGTCACATCCTACACTGTGGTTGTCAGGGCAACAGATGGTGGGACACCAGCAAGATCAGTTGACGACACGCTCACCATCACTATCACGGACGTCAACGACAACGTCCCTGTCTTCACCGCAGCCAGCGTCCTCACAGGATCAATACCTGAAAGTTCCCTAGCAGGGACTTCTATCTTAACGCTTGTTGCCGCAGACGCCGACGCAACGTCAACGTTAACATTTTCAGTCACCAGCGGCGACGTTGTACCTCCAAAGTTTGAGTTCAGCGGAACGACGCCAGGACAGTTACAGCTTGCCAGTCTTATCGACCTGGACCAACCGACAAACGACGCCGGTTACTACACTCTGACCGTCATCGTGACAGATGGAGGGGTGCCCGAGTTGACGGGGACGACGTACGTCACTGTTACCGTCACTGCCGTCAACCAGCACACGCCCGTTATGAACACGCCGTCTCCTGCTTCCACCGTCACGGTAAGTCACGCAAGTTACATGTTGATTACCAAGTTGAAACCTAAAGGCACTATACCACACCACACTTCTCTAAAAATAAATAATGCATTTCTCTCAATAATAGTGACTATCAGTCCTCCGGGAAGGTACCATATAGTCTATTCCAAACAAAATTACGTATTTAGATTACAATATCAAATTAAAAAGTTCGAATGAATTAATGCAACTTTGCATTAAATCGACCCTCGCACCCTCTACCGGCCGATCATTATTTAAAGAAAAAACCCATAGAGTTATGTCCCTTGGAACGCTCTTTAAGAATATCCTACTTACAACTTGTGATTGAAACCAGTTCGGCAAATACCGACAGATTTCGATGTACGGAGCCTTGTTTACAATCCATATATATGTGAAGTGTTGTTCGGAAGTTGTTTGGAAGCTGTTCACCTCGAAGTTTCAATTAACGATTTCAGGCAAGTCGTAAGGGATAATAAGTCTTGTATTGCATGAATAGGAAGCTAACGTGAGTGCACATGTCCCAATATATATAGTATAGGCCAAAATATTGTCGAAAATGTGTGACATTGTGCCTTTAAAAGTCAAGTCTTAAGAGAAGTATGCCTGAACCAAACAAACAACAAAAAAGTACTGTAATTAACAAATGTATTCGAAAATTACTAAGTTCACAGATCAATACACATTACGAGTCAGAGGTAACATAATACAGTAGCGGTGGTTATAGCCACAGGGGTTCGAATCACTGTTTGGACAATAATTTTTAAATATACAAATCTACCTTTTTGCAACCGTATATTGTTTTTATGTGTTATGAGTAACTTATGTTTCAAATTTGAAAGTAATCGGTGAAGAAATGGATTTTTTAGAAAATTCTCCCGCTACACTCATTAAATAAAAACATTCGAAATTCGAACCCTTGTGGTTATAGCAATAAGGACAATGATGGCAATATTCACCTCTCAGTAACGTAACCCAGCTTACAACTTGGTCTGGCTGGGTATACCGATCATCACACACAATGATGGCCTTCTTGTGGCTTGAAATGTTATGTGAGATGATATGTGTTCCCCTTTAATAGGGGCGGTGTAGCCTAGTGGTTAATGGCCAAAGAAAAGTCTCGAATCCCCACATGGGCACAATTAATTCCCCACAGTAATCTCGAAATTGCTAAAAAGTTGATTCTGGAATACCAAAGAAAAGCAAGAATTAATTCCTGATAATTCTAAGTTGTCTGGAATAAGCTTTCCTGATAATTCTACGTTGAGATGCTTACAAGGTTGTAGCACAAGTCTAAATATAGCACAGCCCTGCCACCTCCCTGTCACTATAGGTATCCCTGGAAGACTTCAGGATAGGTATACTACCCACACGAAGTAATAGAACTAACTTGAATATAGCTTGAATATTGCACATTTACAATACTGTGGCGTTGCAACTGGACGCAACATCGAATCACAAGAATATTTCACATCATGCAGAAACATCACGTAATGCACGTGCTCACATAAACCAATATGTTTCGGCCTGTGGTGGACTGCAACTGAGTTAAGCACATGCAGGAAGACTTAACGAAGCGACAACCAGACATGATCGATCGTCTTGTTTCATGACTTGCACTCCACCCTACTGATTCGCTCCTGTTATTATTAACCAGTGGGGCGGTAAGGCAGGGTTTGTCAAACCTGTGCACTTTGGGTTAAAAGCACGGCACTTGGCACACTTATCCATCGAATGATTCCAAACAGGTCTGGATGTGGATCCAGCAGTGCCGCATAATCCAAGATGGCTGCCAATTTGGCTGAAATCTCTAATGATGTTAGTCTGTGCTCAATGCAATTTTCAGCAATCCATGATTGTCGTGATAGGCGACTAACAGGATCGGAAGGTGAGACTCGCTGACTTGTTGGCATATGTCATCGTAACCCAGTGGATCATGATGTCAGTCACTGAATTGTCTCAAGACTCAAATGTTTACAGACCGCTGTTTTATAGCTGGAATATTGCTGGAATACTGCTGAGTGCGGCCTAAACAACAAACAAACAAACATTGCCGTCACATATGTACACAAGAAAACTCTTTACTTGAAATCTGATATTTCTTTATCAGCACGAAATCTGATATTTCTTTTTCAGCAACCCGAAAGTGTTGGTGTTGGAACGTCTATTGCAACAGTAACGGCGACGGACAACGACGTCGGCAGTGATGGAACGCTGACATACGCCATATCAAGTAAACCAATGTTGCTTCCTTACATCGTGCTAGACTATCAGTTAATATCAGTCAGATTTATAGAGCTACGACGGTAAATAAGGATTACCTGCCAGGGTCCACTTGCTAAAAACAATCTTAGCACTACGACGGTCATAACTCCCATACCAAGGCTAACCATCATCACAGCACTAAGATCGTTTTGTGCAAGTGGGCCCAGGTGAATGAATGTTCTTTGAGTGTCCTACTGACCTAATTGTAATAACCCTTCCAAGTCCCTCATGCCAAGAAAAGGAACGCCTTGTCCATTACTGCCGTGTTTCTTCCCCAGATGGCAATACCGGTTCAGCCTTTTTCATTGATCCTACACTGGGCGAGATTCGAACCCAGGCTACCTTGGACTTTGATGCGGGGACACAACAGTACCTTCTAGAGGTTACAGCAACAGACGGTGGTGCGACGCCACTGGTCGGGACGACGACCGTCACTGTTGACATCACCAACGTCAACGACAATACTCCAGCGTGTCCCTCTAACTTCATCACACAGTCGATGGCAGAGGCCGGTGCAGCGAACACTGCGGTAACGTTCCACACAGACCACGTATATTAATCAGGATTACAATGATATACATTATTACATCATATGCAGATAAATGGATGTAAACAAATTTCATCTCATGCTTCATCAAGTAACATGGAGCGACTCGGTATAATGTTAACATTCTAGGGAGGACATCAATCGGTTGGACTGAAAATGGGTCTATGTTTGAAATGTACGTCATTGATGGCTACATCATTTGAAACTGGCGATAATGGTTATTTAACTTGAAAATTTTAAACTTTATATTTTACACAGTTTGACAAACTGTTGATCAAGTACTGACACTTTTAATATTGGAAATGTGGAATTTTGTATTCCTGATATTGATATGTTCTATTGTTAACCATGTTATGACAATATGTCGAAAAAGCGTCATGACAAAATACCTGAATATTCTTGAATATTTTGGCACGTCATCATACATTTATTAGCTCGATGTGTGATATCTTTTGTATTCGTAGTTTGTTGTTTCAAACATGTCCCACATGCAAACAATTGTCTGAATATATCAGACGCGTGTTGTAGGTGACGACCATAGCGTGTACCGACGCGGACACCCCCGACACCCTCACCTACTCCATCACTGGCGGTAACACACCTGTCTTCTTCGCCATTGACGCTACAACAGGGGCAATAACCACAACAGCACGTAAGAAATACCAGTTGTGTACAATATTCACTGAGTAATAGGTTTTTGGTGAGGTAGTGTAGTGGTTTGCTCATCACGCCGAAGACCCGGGTTCGATTCCCCACATGGGTACAATGTGTGAAGCCCATTTCTGGTGTCCCCTACCGTGATATTGTTGTAATAATGTCAGAACTGAACTCACTCACTCACTCACAGACGTATAGTTATTGTGACAGTTCAGTTCATTTGTAAATCATCAAACTATTACGATTTTGGTTTATAAAATATTGGATAGAATAACGAAGCATTGATAACGCTAAAGTTAATCATCTCTTAATCATCTCAATCCTAGTTTTCATTTTTTTAAAGAGCAGTCAATATACACGTTTCAAGTCACAGATGAGTGTTCTGTTTATTTTATAGCTTTCAACTACGAGATCACGACTGAGTTTACACTGACTGTAAACGTGGCCGACAACGGCGTCCCTTCCAGGTCTGTCGATGTTACAGTCAAAGTGTTGGTCACTCCAGTGAATGAGTTCGACCCTGTATTTTCCCCGGCTTCCTATACATCTACTGTTATTGAAAACTCAGCCATAGGTGCCAACGTCGTGCAGGTGACGGCGACAGACGACGACGTTGGTGCTTTAGACGGCACAGTACGATACAGCATCACCAACGGGGATGCACAAGGCAGGTTCACTATAGACGAGAATACTGGTCAGATAACCGTCGCCAAACAGCTGAACAGGGAACTGGTGGACACTTATACCCTTACTGTCACCGCTGCTGATGATGTTGCTGGGTCTGCGACGTCAAGGGCGGTGACGACGTCCGTGACTGTGACAGTTGGAGATGCCAATGACAACAACCCTATATTCAACCCTAGTTTCTATACGTCAAGTCCCATTGAAACGTCGGCTGCGTTGTCGACCATCTTGACGGTAACGGCCACGGACGACGACCTCGCCGGTGACCCCAATTCTGCGCTGACCTTCTCGGTGATCGCTGGAGATCCCACAGGTGTGTTTGACTTTTCTGGGGCAGATTTGATAATAGCAACAGGGATGAACCTCGACTACGCCACCACTCCAGCCTTCGACCTCACCATTCAAGTATCAGACGCTGGCGCCGGGCCCCTGACGGACACTGCTCGAGTGGTCATTAATGTCCAGCCAGCCAATCAGAACTCTCCGGTGTTTACCAATCCAAACCAAATTATCACAGTTAACGAGTCTATTGCTATAGGAACTACAATTCTAACAGCAACAGCGAGCGACACCGATTCTGGCGTATTCGGAACTGTGAATTACACCATCATCAGCGGTAACGTCCCCGTTGGCAGCTTCGTGATTGACAGCACGACGGGTGACATCTTGGTATGGTCGCAGCTAGATTACGACATCCCCCCAACCTTCTTCAATCTAACCCTGGAAGCAACAGACGGAGGTGGGATGACAAACACCACGTGGCTCTACATCAACCTCATCGACGTCAACGACAACTACCCACAGTTTGCCCAAAACGTTTATAACATCGCCGTAGATGAGAATCTTGCAACTACAACGTCAGTTGCTCAGGTCGTTGCTACAGATGCTGATACGGGCACAAACGGTCAAGTGGACTATTCCATCACGTCCGGTGACGGGCAAACGACATTTGCTATTGACCCGGCAACTGGCGACATCACCACGACAGCGGCTTTAGACTATGAAACCAAAACAACCTATAACCTGGTCATTCAGGCCATTGACAGAGGAACCCCGACGGCTAACAGTGCCACGACTCTGGTGGTCATAACGCTCAACGATCTGAACGATAACACGCCTATCTTCACACCGTCCAATTTCACCGTTGACCTTGATGAAAACGTTGCCATAGGAACGTCAGTGGCTACCATGGCAGCATCAGACGCTGACTCTATCGCCAATAGTAACGGTATTTTTACTTACAGTCTCAACAGCACCTTTTTCGCAATAAACTCAACAACAGGGGAAATAACCACGCTGGTTGCCATTGACAGAGAAGCTGTCGCTAAGTAAGTACATTTTCAAATTCCAATGAGTTGTGTTTTACAAAAAAAAGTAACATAATTTATGTTATATTTGGGATTACACTTTCTTAGTAAAGTACAGATAGTAGTACATTTGTTGGGTTGAGTCCCATCCGGGATTCGAACCCACACCCTCAGAGTCAGGCACCTAATCGCCAGCACACAAAGTCAGATGCCTGGACCGCTCAGCCACCGCGGCTTCCAAAGAAGCCTGTACTTTACAAAGAAAGTGTAATCCCAAATATAACGTTATGTTTCATTTGACCACTTTCTAAATGGCATTGTGTATTTTTAAAAAAAAGTAATTTCCTCACTGAGCGTGCGGTTAGAGTTCTAAAAGATTGTTGCGGAAAACATTTTCTTCGCATCCTTTCAGAGAAAGAAAATTGTATGTTTGTAAGCGCTCAGTTGTCAGATCTGTCAAAGAATCCTTTGGCAGAATTGCATGTCATAACAATTGTGTTGGAGTTGATCCTGTTTAATGCCGTTGCGTTGCATTTCAGCCACGTTCTGACAGTGACCGCTACAGACCAGAACGGTGTAGGACCCAACACCGGCAATGGTACACTGAACATCAACGTTGTGGACCTGAACGACAACGCGCCTGCGATCACTGGCACCTATACTACGACTCTACCTGAGAACACTGCAGTTGGAACTATTATCTACACCATAACAGCAACAGATGCCGACGTCGGTCGTAACGGAGAGATCTCTTTCGCTATCACCGCCGGTGACCCTACCAACGACTTCACTATCGAGTCAAAGTCTGGAATCTTGCAGCTCAGTAAAGCCTTGAACAGGGAGGTAACTCCAAGCTACACATTGACTGTCACAGTTACAGACAACGGAATCAGCCCTCTGAACAACGCCGTCACAGTATCTTTAACAATATCCGACGTCAACGACAACGATCCCGTGTTCCAGAATCTTCCTTACGCTTTCAGCATTGCAGAAAACGTCCCGGCCGGCTCTACCGTAAACTATGTGACCGCCATTGATATTGATACCGGCACGAATGGAGCTGTGGGATATGAATTCGTCATCTTCTGGCAAGGAAACAACACTCATTTCAGCGTAAATGGCGCATCAGGGGAGATAACTACGAACGGCGGCCTTGACCGAGAAACACGGGACACATACATCATATGGTTAAGGGCATCTGATAATGGCGTTCCTATCAGATCATCAAGTACGAATGTCACGATAACTATCACGGACCTGAATGACAATGATCCCGTCTTTGATGCTGCGTCGTACACAGGTTCAGTGAGCGAGAATGCTACCGTCGGTACAAGCATACTTAAAATGGCTACTACTGACAGCGACATCGGTGTCAACGCCGCTGTGACGTTGTCAATAGATACGACGACTACAGCAGGTGCGAGAGCTGCACTTTTCTTTGACATCACCACAGCTACAGGAGATCTTTCTATCAAAGCAGTTGTTGACAGAGAAACTGATCCCAGTTTTATCTTCAGCGTCCTCGCCGTCGATGGAGGTGCTACGCCACGAACGTCCACGACCACGGTAACAATAACTGTGACTGACATCAACGACAACAACCCTGTAATGTCGCAAAGCTTCTACAACACAGAGATTGCTTACAGTGGAATCTGTGACAGCTCCATCACCACCGTTAGCGCCACCGATGCAGACAGCGGAGTGAATGGACAAGTTATTTATTACCTGATACAAAGCACATACAATTATCTCTTCCAAATTGACTCAAACTCAGGTACGTATACCTACTTGTTCAGACTCATAGACCAAGCTGACTGATGGTTTTACCCCAGCCATCATGAGTTCGAATCCGAGATGAGATAACATCAGCATAACGTCAAGTTTACAAAATGTCGCTTTACACTGAAATACTGTCCAAAGTATTGCTAATCCAAACTAATTCCATATATCTGTGGTTGCTGTTTAAAACTGACGTACTGGGTAAGATTTTTACTCCGTCTCATATTACCAGTATTCCAATTATATCCCGGGGTTGGGAAATGTGTACGATTAAGGCAGGTCCCATTATCTCCTGTAGAGAATCGAACCTGGGTCATACGCTATATCAGCTAACGCATTAACAGGCAGACTATATCGCTGCTCCAGCATACAGAGTAAAGAGTTTCAACATTTCAGGTGCCTTTTCACTACAATCCCAAGCCGCGAACAACTTCCGGTACGTCATAGAAGCCTCTGCACGAGACGCGGGAACACCTGTACTTACTGCCGCAACACCTGCCACCATACGCATCGACACCTTCGACCCCAACGCCGTCGTCGTCACCTTCAGACTAAGTATCAACCAGGCCACATTCCTGGCTCAACAAGCTACCTTCATTGCGGAACTACAAGCCCTCATCAGGGTTACATACCCCTCCGCCATTTTCAGAGTTTGGTGTGTCGAGGTCAGAAGCGGAACTTCCGGTATCCCGTCAACTGGCAGGAGAAAACTGCTTCAAACAACAAGGTATGCGACACTTCATTATCAGAGATCAGGGCGTAGCGTGGTCTTCATGTTTCAGACAAGGTATGCGACACTTCATTATCAGAGATCAGGGCGTAGCGTGGTCTTCATGTTTCAGACAACAAGGTATGCGACACTTCATTATCAGAGATCAGGGCGTAGCGTGGTCTTCATGTTTCAGACGAGGTATGCGACACTTCATTATCAGAGATCAGGGCGTAGCGTGGTCTTCATGTTTCAGACAACAAGGTATACGACACTTCATTATCAGAGATCAGGGCGTAGCGTGGTCTTCATGTTTCAGACGACAAGGTATACGACACTCCATTATCAGAGATCAGGGCGTAGTGTGATCTAGATGTTTCAGACAACAAGGTATACGACACTTCATTATCAGAGATCAGGGCGTAGCGTGGTCTAGATGTTTCAGACAACAAGGTATACGACACTTCATTATCAGAGATCAGGGCGTAGCGTGGTCTTCATGTTTCAGACAACAAGGTATGCGACACTTCATTATCAGAGATCAGGGCGTAGCGTGGTCTTCATGTTTCAGACAACAAGGTATACGACACTTCATTATCAGAGATCAGGGCGTAGCGTGATGTAGATGTTTGAGACGACAAGGTATACGACACTTCATTATCAGAGATCAGGGCAAGGTAGCGATGGTCTAGATGTTTCAGACAACAAGGTATACGACACTTCATTATCAGAGATCAGGGCGTAGCGTGGTCTTCATGTTTCAGACAACAAGGTATACGACACTTCATTATCAGAGATCAGGGCGTAGCGTGATGTAGATGTTTGAGACATTATCAGAGATCAAGGTATACGACACTTCATTATCAGAGATCAGGGCGTAGCGTGATCTAGATGTTTCAGACAACAAGGTATACGACACTTCATTATCAGAGATCAGGGCCTAGCGTGGTCTTCATGTTTCAGACAACAAGGTATACGACACTTCATTATCAGAGATCAGGGCGTAGCGTGGTCTTCATGTTTCAGACAACAAGGTATACGACACTTCATTATCAGAGATCAGGGCGTAGCGTGGTCTAGATGTTTCAGACAACAAGGTATACGACACTTCATTATCAGAGATCAGGGCGTAGCGTGGTCTTCATGTTTCAGACAACAAGGTATACGACACTTCATTATCAGAGATCAGGGCGTAGCGTGGTCTAGATGTTTCAGACAACAAGGTATACGACACTTCATTATCAGAGATCAGGGCCTAGCGTGGTCTTCATGTTTCAGACAACAAGGTATACGACACTTCATTATCAGAGATCAGGGCGTAGCGTGGTCTTCATGTTTCAGACAACAAGGTATACGACACTTCATTATCAGAGATCAGGGCGTAGCGTGGTCTAGATGTTTCAGACAACAAGGTATACGACACTTCATTATCAGTGATCAGGGCGTAGCGTGGTCTAGATGTTTCAGACAACAAGGTATGCGACACTTCATTATCAGAGATCAGGGCGTAGCGTGGTCTAGATGTTTCAGACAACAAGGTATGCGACACTTCATTATCAGAGATCAGGGTGTAGCGTGGTCTAGATGTTTCAGACAACAAGGTATGCGACGCTTCATTATCAGAGATCAGGGCGTAGCGTGGTCTAGATGTTTCAGACAACAAGGTATGCGACACTTCATTATCAGAGATCAGGCCGTAGCGTGATCTACATGTTTGAGACGACAATACTCGCTCACAGAGTTGGGTTTCAATTGACCGTATAACGTCATCGTTCTAGATTATGTTGGAAATACCTTTCACAAGACAAGACCATGTGTATTTCCCGTGTGTAATACTGTGTAAAACTGACTTTTCTTTTCCGTGGAATCCCAGTAATCCCTGAAAGCATAATTGATATGTATGTTTAGTGATATCCAGACTGAAACGGTTTCAAAATAATTAAATAACCACACTAGATGAATTATCAAAAACTATTATTTGAAAACGCGATTTGCGGTTTACAGACATTAATACAATAGACGCAGAAATAAGTGCGATGCAGCAGAATTGTTGCAAGTCACGAATATTAAGACTTTAGTCGGTGGTCGAATGGCTTGACAGAAGACTAGTTTTGGCAACTGGCACATTTAGTGTTTTCAAATACTACGCGCGTCATGTTGTAAAAGACCCCGGACAGGCTTCCTAACCCTCTTACATGGGTACAGCCATCTTTCTGAAAACAAGTACCGTCGTGGCTTAGACAGGTTTAGTTCTGTGATTTTTAAACATTTTAACGCTGTCCTGTTGACCTACTGTTTTTGTATTGAATGAATATCTCATATTTCAGAAATGGACGTGATTATTTAAGGTTGTAATCCGTAACATGAAGCAGAGGTTATTCTAATGTCTGTTCTATTTTCCCATCATTAAGTGTATATGTATATGTGTATCCAAATGAATATTAATAGTTCTGACGTCTCCTTAATGTTATCTAAACGATTCTTTTTGGCGATATGATACCTTATGATTCATATTAAGTCAAGTGGATGTTTTGGGCGCAAATAGGCCTCTCATTGGTCCACCTCGCCTTAAAACTATAACAACTCCACGTTGTCGCCGATGGTAATTGTCCGTATACTGGCCCTTCAATCAGTTATTGACATCCGAAATATCTCCAAATGACATTTTCTTCTGCGCTATAACAAACGTATTTCAGCACGTTGGTAAATACAGTGAATTATCGCAATCAAACCATGACTGCCGATATTCCACGCTCGGTCTGCGCGATTCCAGCTTTTACTATTCTTTACACACGCTTTCCTTACGAACTGTAGCATTGGCACAGCTCCGTAACCTGATGGTATATTGTTATGATATATTAGACGATGAGTTTGATAGCAGCCATTGTGTTCTTTTGTGTGTTATTTGTCACGTGAATGGAGGCACAGGGGCTTGTATTGCTGAAAATAATACGTCCGGGGTCCTACATTCGTTCACTGATAGTCATCTACATGTAAATATCCCAATTGCGCAGATCGATGCTCATGCTGTTGATCTCTGGATTGTCTGGCCCAGACTCGATTATTTACAGACCGCCGCCATATATCTGGAATATTGCTGAGTGCGGCATAAAACTAAACTCACCCACTATAAAGAAGTATCAGTGAACGAGTGTAGAACCCAGGACTTATTATTTTCAGCAATACAAGCCCCTGTGAATGGAGGGACATACCAGTACCGACCCAGCTGTTTTAGAATATCAATAAAAAGTGACAAGAATGATATCAATAAAAGTGTCTTTGTGCTGTAATGTTAAATGACTGCATTACCGTACTAATACTGTCAGTGTGTGTCTATCACAGCAGCCCCATCAACGTCCACACCTTCACAGTAGCAGACAGCTCCACTGAATCCATAGGCAACATCAACCAAGACAAGACGTTGTTGACGTCGTCAGAGACGCTACAGTTCTTCTCTACAGACCCCCAGGGCTCCCCCTCGGCTGCTGTCACAGGTTAGACAGTCACCCAACCTTCCACTTACTTGAATCTTGAAACACATTAACATGGCTTGACCAAACAAGCATATATGTTTTTCTTGTCATTTATGTATCTATTGAAATGACGGTCAGTTTCACAGATATATTCAACGTATCCATCGATGTCTGATGTTTGATCAGACATTGATGCTCAGTTGAGCTCAAAGACTCCAAGAGTTTGGGTTTTCAGCAACACACCCATGTCACACACCTACGGTACTTGGGGCTATCCTTCCATATTAAGCTGACATACCCTGGTATAAGTAGGACACACTCCTTCACTCACTTACAGACTCGGCAGGGAAATAGAGTGTTACTTCAGATAGGTTCCTGTGTTTCATGTCTTGACAAGTAAGCCTGATACATGACTTCCAGGAGGGAATCTGAACGCATTCGGCATCTCCTCCGTGATTCCTTACTACCAGGTCAACACTCCCTGGGCCCAGACACCAGAAGGCATCGCAGTCCTCACATTCATCTCCTTCGTCATCCTTGCTCTCATCGTCACCAGCATCATCGTAACCATCGTGGCGTGTCGGAAGAAACAGAGGTAAGCGCAGATGACATTACTGGTCTGTGATCTTAACGGTCACATGACATCACTGTGGTTGGTCTGGGGTAGGTCTTCACGGTCACATGACATGATAGTGGTTGGTCTGGGGTAGGTCTTCACGGTCACATGGCATGACTGTGGTTGGTCTGGGGTAGGTCTTCACGGTCACATGACATGATAGTGGTTGGTCTGTGATCTTAACGGTCACATGACATGACTGGGGTTGGTCTTCACGGTCACATGGCATGACTGGGGTAGGTCTTCACGGTCACATGACATGACTGTGGTTGGTCTGGGGTAGGTCTTCACGGTCACATGACATGACTGTGGTTGGTCTTGGGTAGGTCTTCACGGTCACATGACATGACTGGGGTTGGTCTTCACGGTCACATGACATGACTGTGGTTGGTCTGGGGTAGGTCTTCACGGTCACATGACATGACTGTGGTTGGTCTGGGGTAGGTCTTCACGGTCACATGACATGACTGTGGTTGGTCTGGGGTAGGTCTTCACGGTCACATGACATGAGTGGTTGGTCTCGGGGTGGTGGTGACTGTGGTTGGTCTGGGGTAGGTCTTCACGGTCACATGGCATGACTGTGGTTGGTCTGGGGTAGGTCTTCACGGTCACATGGCATGACTGTGGTTGGTCTGGGGTAGGTCTTCACGGTCACATGACATGACTGTGGTTGGTCTGGGGTAGGTCTTCACGGTCACATGACATGACTGTGGTTGGTCTGGGGTAGGTCTTCACGGTCACATGACATGATAGTGGTTGGTCTGGGGTAGGTCTTCACGGTCACATGACATGACTGTGGTTGGTCTGGGGTAGGTCTTCACGGTCACATGACATGACTGTGGTTGGTCTGGGGTAGGTCTTCACGGTCACATGACATGACTGTGGTTGGTCTGGGGTAGGTCTTTACGGTCACATGGCATGACTGTGGTTGGTCTGGGGTAGGTCTTCACGGTCACATGACATGACTGTGGTTGGTCTGGGGTAGGTCTTCACGGTCACATGGCATGACTGTGGTTGGTCTGCTGGTGTATACGATCACATGATATCAAAGTCACTGGTCTGTGGTGTCCACATATCCGTGACATGGCAGTGTTTGGTTTGTGGTGTACACAGTCACAGCGGTTGGTATCTACACGGTCCCATATTCCAGTCGTGCTGTCCAAGAGAATTAGATTTCATTTCTCCCAATAAACTTCCTACAATTTCACATTGTGATTCACATTGCAGGCCAATAACGCCCGTCCGTGCAGCGAAGCGAGCCAAACGTCAGCCCACTGAAAAGTTCACTTATAGAGGTAAAGTCCAGTGAGCACGTTCATAACAGGTTATTTACATACTATGGCTGACATCTCACGACAGATGGCTGGTACATCTTGTTCTGTTCTCCTTCCGTGTGATATCAATTGCATCTCATCATCTGATGGAATCTGCGATCATGTTGTGACAGAATTTATGAAAAGTGGAAATAGAATCAGAACCATCAAGTGCTATTTCAAATTTGTAATACCGTTTTCGTACTTTCCATGATGGTTCTGTGCCATGCACTTACAATCTGCAGGATGACAGTATGTGAGGCCGATAATCGTTCAGTAAATGTCTCAGTCCATTTCTATCTTGTATGGAACCTTTGTTCGCCGTAACCCCGTTCATCCAGTCTTCTCCATGGGAAATAGTTCGGTTTAACAAAGTTTTCACAGGGCGAGGTTGGGTTGTATGTGTAACGGGTTGCATGGTGTCACACATATTGTATTGATGTCTTCAAAACGTCAGCGTCAATGATTAATGCAGCGTGCTGAGTTCGTTAGAATATATTACGTTAAGTGTGCATAAAGCTGATTCACGTTGGTACTCACATCACCTTGTTTACTCCAACAAATGTGAAATACGTTGAAGATAATTCTTCGGTATCTGGACAACCAAGTCTGTCGTATGTTTGGGCTCCCAAGGTGAAATCATATTTTAATATGCTTCTGTAATACAACGGGACATCTTGTGAGAAGTCTGCTTGTTTAACACTGTAGCCAATTCTGGGTATATTTTTCCAGAGGTGTGTTTTGTCTTTCAATAATCGTTTAACAGAAGTAGGAGTAGAATGGAATCGATGGAGGGATATTATAATCGATGGAGGTGGATATTGCCTTTGAAAATATTTTTATTTAACTGTCCAAAGTCGTTCATTTTATGCTATTTCGATTGTACTGCAACGAAGCACTATACTCATAATTCCACGCCGGTACAAACATAATCGACTGTTTCACCAGGCTTGTTTAGTAATTGTGGAAACTGGACGTTGACATCTTGTTTAGGAAGATGGACGTTGACATCTCGGGAAGATGAGATATGTATATGATGGACGTAATCGTTAGATATGTGTTATGTGTTAATTAAAGCACACTTTCGAAATACAGTTCGTTCTAAGACAAATTTAATACTTTCTAAGGATAATACGATCAATTCAAGGCAGAAAACAAACGACGGTGTCGGTCACCTAAATTAAGAACACTTTCAGGGCGAACTGAGCTGTTCTATTGAACGTTAAGAGAACGTTAACAGGAAAACAAATGATAACAGTTTGATGACGGTTTACGTTCGGGTTAAATATCTTCTCTAAATTATTTTAATTACTGTGATTAACGTAAACCATATTGGGCAATATGAACGTCGCATTTCTACTACCAACGTTAAGTTTAGATCAGTACATCCAGATGAAGCTGACGAGTCAAGCGACATTCCACGATTGCATTGTGGGAATGTAAACATCGCGAATGTTACCGTGTCGCTGTAAGTCGAACTGAGGCATTTTATCCATTGGAAAACATAAACGTAATGTTTCCACCACTGATGTTAGCTGAGTGAAGCAACTGCAAACCAAGAAACGGGATGAAATGGAGTAAGTTAGTGTAGGAGGCTGTACGAGGCGATGACAACTGACATGCATCTGACGTCGGTTACATTGTGACGTAATGCAAAAGTGTTCGATTACGAGGGGCATTGTGACGTAATGACGTAAAAAGTGCACATTATCGTCTGATAAAGTGCTGTCGGCGCCTTTGATCTTTCACCGAAGCATCTTAGAATTGTGCATAGCATTACAGTAAATGTTAATTTATACGTTTCTATACTTTCTCAATATTTTGTTAATGGCATCTCGCCTCACACTTTTCACACTTTTCTTGCAGCAACAGGTCGAGTGTATAGCTACAACTCGAAAACCAATGAAAGGGACTGGTTAACGACACCTGATGGCCGCTCGGTGAAGGTCACTCACCATTAATCTCGCAATATCCCACGAGGCACCAGGATATAGCATTTCATGATCTCATCTACTATAAACGTTTATGCTCAGGATCGGTGCCGATTGTTCAAGCAATTTGCGAAATATCTATATTTATTTTTTATCCGTCAAACTCTAAATAATGAAAGAAACAGGTGGTTAATATGCAATGGTGATGTGTTTCATACCGGATCATATTTGTGTTTTGGACCCTACGTTTTTTGTGTTTTCAGCATTGTAACATTTTGAAATCATCTTTGGTCAAACCCAGATTTCTTTTGCAGTTAAGATCTGTTACAAAACCTCAACTACAAAGGTTCAATAGCCAGGTCATGCATATCAACTTCTATTTAATACCTTTGTACATAAAAATGTTACGTGTGTCTATCTGAAACGACAACAGCGCCTGGCGTGCTTGAACTTATTTTCTGTGTTGATGTTATTTAGCATATACACACCTCTGCATTAATTAAGTACCACCCTATTTTGAAAATAAGATGTGATGCTACAGAAAAGTTAGGGTATAGCCATCAATTTATAGTTAAAGAAGTTTTATCCATTGACAGTTTTACAAATACCATAAACATTTTTATTCTTTATGAAAGAATATGTTGATAAAAATGTGATGGGACTGAACTTTCACCCAAAATAAATATTCCTCTCCTGTTCAAACTACACAATTATATTAAGTTTTGACTAAAAATACCAATTCTGTTATATACCAAGATGACATTTACACATCAAGTAAGCTTTAATTATGCATAATCAGGAATAACCCGAATGCCAAATATTCAGACCATTTTCCAACAGTTCAGATTGCTAATTGACAAGAACGGATGAAAGGCCACATTAATAAGATTTCGGAATAAATCTTTTATGATTTTGTGTTTATTTTATTGAATAAACACTTCTCCTTGCCGGATACTGATAATTACAACTAAAATCTGTTTGTTTTGTTTGTAAAGCAACTTTTACTGCATTTTAGAAAATGTTGGTTTTTAGTTTGACTGTAACTTTTCCGAAATCCTAGTTTAAAAACTTTCATCCATTCACAATTAATAACGAATTTATAGGCCACATAACAATCAATTATTACTTTCACTTTTGAAAATAAGGGAACTTGTTTTCGGTCAGAAAAACACCTGTTTTAAATACAGGCAATTATCCTAATTAAAGTACATGGTAATTTCAATTATGTTTTCTTTTTTGAAATGTTAAATGCTTGCTCTATCAAATTATAAAGGTTATGTTTTGGAATGAGTTTAGAATTACATTTCAGACAAAATTAATTGGTAAAAATACAGTGTGGTGCTTATTTTATGCACGGATGTATATACAGAGATCTCCTTTGTCCGGAACCTGCTGTTGGAAAGTAAGGAATTAAACTGTGTAACAATAATTCGTTAATCCAGTCGATCGTCCTGGGGGTGATCCTGTCCGGATTAGCCAGGGTTCAGTGTACACTTTAAGCCCTAGCTCAGGGAAAAGACAAGTGTTGATTATATGCTTCTGTGACGTTTCCATGTTTTCTTCATGAGGAGTCATGTCGTCTTATTTATAACACAAGCATTCTGTGATATCGATGTCGATGTTTTATGCGTTGTACCTTCAGTTGTATCAAACCTTTGTAAGAAAACTGTCCGTTCTGCGTTAGTGTACACAATTTATTCAAACAAAGGACGTCATCCTGCTGTATCGCACAACGGCTGACTTGTAATGCACAGACACGCAATACGCACGCACATACATTGTATTTACAAAAACGCCACATTAAGTATGTGAGTTCTTAGCTTTGTTTACAACTTTCAAGGGACGGGCTTCAAAGGACTACATTCTCAAAGCGGTCCTTATTCTAATTATTCCTCCAAGTCATGATATTATCACATCAGGACTCGCCATCCAAAAATTATGAGTTTTTATATGGGCCACCACTGTCGGTCCGCTTTCAGTGAGTTAGTGAGTTGAGTTTAACACTGCATTAAACGATATATTAGTCAGCCTATTGTCACATGAAAACCAGATTTGCTGTACAGTTTTAGTAACGCGAATATGCCACAGACAAACCAAGAATCAAACTTTGACCGAAATATGGATTCGAACCCCAGACCTGAAGAGTCTTGAGAGGGAACAACATCTTGGTTAATCGTCGAATGTTAGTTTGAGATGTAGATGAATTAAATCTTTTGTCAAATATGCACCTTCAATACTCAAAGATCAGTATATTTTTGTCAAAGCCAAAGAAACAATTTTGTATATCTTAATTTACACGAGTTCCCGTTCATACCTGGGCGTTTCATCCAACTCTTTAACCATTTCATGGCTGTTCACTTTAACACTTTATAACACATGAACAATTGTTTACATTTGTCAAAGACGTCACTTAACGTAATAAGCTGACACCGTTTCAGTAAATTCAAATACATTGATATTCAGATATTTTCCGTGAAGATAAAAATAATAATTACATCCCTATTTTTAATATGACACCGAACAATTACATGTTACAGTTTACGTCTTTATGTCAATACCGAAATACATATTTCATATTTCTGAGACTGATAACAAAATATTATCAATCGCATCTTAATATATGAATTAATCATAATCTACATACTTGTTGTAAACACAATAATGAGATAAGGTTAGGTTGACTTGTGTTGCCTACATAACCTCCATATTGTGATATTATCACACGGTTGGTTGGACACCAGGCTGGGCAATGTGCAGTGCCTCGCGTTACATCACATATGGTTATTCGCAAAGTTCACACTGTTCATACATGAATAAGGGAGTAACATACAAGCCATGACTACTTTCCACCTCAGATCATAAACTTGAAATATTTAGATACATCCCGTACACGTCTGAGTGAGTGAGTGAGTTTATGTCTCTCAAGGCAACATCCTGCAACATCATGGTTGGGAGACATTTGGCTTCACCACACGTGTCCCGGTGCCACATCCCGTTACTTCAGGGAAACCTGAAACCATCAGGGTAACCCTTCAGCTTGGAAACCCAATTCGTCAGACATAAACATATTAGGAAACCAACACAATATATAAACACACGGATCTGATAATGTTTAGATTAGATTTACCAGCACAAGACTCAAGAGATGTGTTATCTGATGAACAGTTGTCGACTGTACCTCCAATGTTCAAAAAGTAGTCGACAACGTAGGACGTTAAGACGCTCGTGGTTCTGTGGTGTATGTCTTAATGTCATGCATTGTTTGGTGTACATATCTATAGCGTTTACACACCAGTCTTTGATTGTCTAAGTTCGTTCGTCTTTAAAAACATTTTCAATAATACGAAACTCTTCTTCTTTCGTTTTCGAGGAAATACGCCCATTATATTCAAAGAAACGTTTCAAATAGAACAAATGTCGACATCTTGTAATACACATGAGTGAGTTAAACCACAGCGTGCCACCTTGAGGAATGTCTGAATTGATGAGGTCTCAGAGACTTTGGTCACGGGAATAGTGCTGACAAAGCTGGAAACAGAACACGGCGAATCCGCCTCTGTGTCCACCAAACTGCGACGTGTTTGTTATTTACCTCTATCAATAAGGGAATGTCACAATTAGCATCGCGTGCAGAACATTTGGGACATTTCAACGGGCGAGAGAGCCATGTATTGCAGTTTCAAACGATAATGCCATCCTGCACAAACGGGTTAAATCATTGAGATAATCTTCACGGATATTCCAACACTAGACCCTTGAAGATCCTGGATAGAATTGATCTTCAGTAACTCATGCCTGTCGTAAGAGGCGACTAACGGGTGGTCAGGATCGCTGACCTGGTTGACACATGTCATCGTATCCCAATTGCGTAGATTGATGCTCATGCTGTTGATCACTGGATTGTCGGTTCCACACTCGATTTTTACAGAACGCCGCCATTTAGCTGGAATAGTGCTGAGTGCGGCGTAAAACTTAACTCACTCACTCACTATTCCAACACCTGTATTTCGTATCACCCCTGTACTAATATACCGAAGAAAACACCATCAATACTTTGCTGATTTGACATCTCCATGGCAACGTCAGTGATGCGTAACTCGGACAGGTTTCCCTTCGGGTGTCTTCATCCAGCGTCTCTGGTTCGTCCTCGTGTCGTAGTTGTATACCCGTCCTGTAGCTGAAAAAAGCGGGCGGTCTTCGAATGAGGATTAAACTAAATTTAGGGCCAAGGTATGATATGTTTGGAATACTTCAGTAATGCTACTGAGCGGGTGGGTGAATGTTATTTAACGCCGCACTGATGGTTACATCATGACTGCTTGTAGCAGCTTGGATCAGACAAGAAGGGGTGTGCATCACCACCCACCCTTTTGGTCCTGAAAATTTATTAAATGACCATTGAAACTCTCGTGGAAATGAAGTGTGCACCCCTCCTTTCTCAATAGTGTGCACCCCCCTTTTCTCCAAAAAGCTGTATCCGGCCCTGTGAACCTCCCACAAGCTTCTAGCACTATGGGCATGTACAAGGTTCTCTGTGACTGCCCGACAGTTCCACTGGTGTAAATGTGTCATGGTGGGGATGTGAATACAAAACTAATGCACGGCGTCTTCCAGCACTGCATTCATGAACAGCAGAATCCTGGAGATTTGGGCTGCTCAGAAAGCGTTGGACATTTTGTGACCTATTATCATAGTTTCTGACAAAAATGGACATAATTTTTCTTTCATTTACGACCCAATTACAAAGCGTTTTAATCCATTCGTAAATCCAACGTCTTACGATTATACACTTAGATCGTTGCTTGGTGCTGTGAGCTGCTCATCGAAGTCGTCACTTCACAAAGCAACCCCTGTTCACCATTTTAAAACTACAATGATTTTGAATGCTTGATGTACAACGTGTTATAACCAATCATAAACTTATTTCTAACTTTTAAAGATATTTCCACCAAGATATTAACACAAATCCACATAACCAAGTCATCAAAAGTTTTGCTGTGTTCGTTTTAGCGCTCCGAACCTCTAATGGTCCTGTCCTTTGGACGTATCCTTACGAAACGTCTTATGCAGTTACATAACAATACATTTATTCTGAAAATTAAGAATGTATCTCTCAGTCTACATTCATAAACACACCCCTTCGGTATTCAGGTTGTGAATGACGATTTGAACATTTTGAATTGATGCGTTCTGTTGAGAGCATGATGCCCACACTGGACCCTATGGTAGTTCAGAGACACTTTGTGTAACTGTACATGACGCTAACGCAGTTTCAAGGCTTGCTAAAAATCTGAGCGATGTGCTAAGAGGACTGGCTCAAAACGAAGTTGCCAGACATTTTAATATTCATCAAAACATTACATCATCGGTTTGAAGACAACGGGGCTAGGCTCATAGTTCACAATAGGCCGGTTGTCCACGTGTCCACGTCAACTCAACCACTTTCAGTTGGTGCATTTACGGATTCGATATCAGACTGTCACATAAACAGTTTGTACAGTTTTTGGATTGAGAGCTATTAATAGCAGAACTGTAAACATCCGGCTGATGGAGAACAACATCCGGTCCCATCGTCCAGCGATACGTGCATCTCAGGAGACGTTTCTGTGCCACTTACATTGCTCAGTGGGGATGGAGATGCCATGGTGTGGGAGACCACAACGCGCTAATGATAATTATAATGACGTACGCTACCGGAACGACATCGTTCACGATCATGCTCTACCGTCTTCACAAATACAGGGACGTAATGTCACACTGCATAACATTGCAATACTGCATGGCCGGCGTCATATAACTACAAATACAGGGAAATGCTAGAAAAATGCTTTTAGTCTTTAACACTTTATAAAGATGATAATGAACATGTTGTCAAGATATCAACTCACCTATCGACTAATACCTAATGTTTGTCAATCGATTTAACATTCCCATGCATTTAAAGGGCAGTTTAAAACGACTCATTTTGGTACCAAACAGCAACCTAAGATTTTTTTCAGAGTTCAACAACAGAAATCTGAAATAGTCTTTACATTTATGCTAATTAGCAGGTGGTGTAAAAAAATGCAATTTAACGTTTTCCTAAAGAACAAATAGAAACTGTTAAAAGTCCGTCCCTTTTCTGACTTCAGAGCGTCATGTAATACGGTCCGTTAAATACGATTCCCTTTTTGATACAACTGCTAATTATCATCCATAAATGAAGTCTTGATAAATAAGTTTCCCGTCATGCATGCACATATTTATCACAGCGTCCACTATGGCCAACGATTTGCAGTCGATTGTTGCAAAGGTTTATAGTTTTTTTTCTGCTTAAAAAAGACAGAGATAAACCTTTCATTAGTTTAGAAAGGGTGTATTACAGAACTTGTAGAGCTGTTGGCATGTCTTACCAACAAGTTTACAATATTGAAAACAAATCAGACAAGACAGGGACCGGCTCAAATGCAAAACTGGGACGTGAAACCATCCTTGACAACTTTGACAAGGGAGTGCTTAGACGGGCGGTCTACAAACTGTATGAGAAGAAATATATATATATTCTAAAGAAGCTACACCAGTGACTTCGTTAAATCTTTGGCCAATGTTCACAACTAGATTAAACTGACCGAGTTACATCCATATTTTTTCAATGAAATATACTGTTGACATGCAAAACATTTATTAAAACGTTGCACATGTCTACAATCAGTCGATAAGATAACACAAGTGATAGGATTCTTTCCAATGTACAGTAATTCGTATGTTTATTTCAAAACAAACACATACACAAATGATCCCTTACATAACCGATACGTATACTATACGTACACATATTCAACATTTTGCAGAAAACATCTATTGAGCTGACCCCTCGCACGAGCGTGTGCTCAGGTGTCAGTTTCACCTGTCGATACCGTGGATGCTGATGACAGGCAATAAATGTTTGTATCAATCCCACTACCCCTTATTTTTCTAAGTTTAAAAAAAAAAATTAGAGCATGTCTGAAAATTTATTCCCTCGGTCTACATTAGGTAGATGTTTCTTGAAGTGATATTTCTTATTTAAGTAACTGTAATACCTCTGAATTTTAAATATAAGTCAAAAAGCATTTTTCTAGCATTTCCGACAGTACTTTAGACGACTTTGCACTATACCAAGGTGAGCTCGACAAAATGACAAAATATTATGTTGTTATTTTGAAAAACGCAACATTAAAACTACTTTACTTGAAAAGCAGCTGCAGGCTTTACTCTGCTTTACATAGAACACGGGCCAGGCATCATGATTGTATTTTTTTATTATTGTCATTATCAACTGTATGCTCGTGTGACTAGACTTACCTTCATCCCCAGCTGTGCTACGGAAGTCCCTGTTGATCACCCTGCCCCTGCCGCCTTTGTTGGTGTAGTCGATGCTGGTGATGCCCTCTTCGGCAGTCTTCATAGGCAGGGGCTTCACCGTGTATGTCTGAGGTTACAATTGTAGGGTAAAAAGGAGATGGACCTCGTGTTCAACATTAAGCAGGTGCTTGAGACCGGACTAAAGACGGGTGTATGGATTCTATGCTGCATTATAACATGCATGCTCCACTCAGACCTGCCAGTCCTCTTTATGACGAACGCAGGCAGGGTATCGATAAGTAGCGTCGTTTAACGTCTTTCGTTATGACACGACTGGGGAACTTCTAACCTTCCGCTCTGCGATCAGACTAGACTAAAGGTGCATTATGTGTACGGGTAGGGATCATCAGGAAGATTTTACAAAACAGACCTGTAGTTTAGCTGTGGGTCAATAGCTCCTTAATAAATATAAAATAGTATAAATTGCATAATGATAGATTGAAGCTGTCATGCGAAACGTAGTGGTCAGTTTAAACAATTGATGTGTTTCCTTCCTCTCTAAAGCCATGTGTGTACATGGACAGCTAGACAGTACTATAAAATAGCACCCTATGAGCACACTGCGTATGTAGACATTGTCTCTCGGGTACTCCAGTCCGATTCCTCTGAGGAGAACAAACAGTATAACCCAGAGGGTAATCTGTAGGTCAACAAGGTTTTTCGCCACACATGTTCTATATTTAAAATAAACTCATAAGAAAGTTATCAACACCAAAGACAGTACCCGCTCAGTGTAAATAGACACATAAGGTGCAGCATGCATACAGATATCAAGAGGATTACACGACTGAATGCATGCTACACACGGTATATCATACACCGAACATCACTGCTATATCACGTACTGGAAATTGCATGTGGTTGTATCTCATGCACCATCGTGGGTGGTTTTCTGAGAACTGATGCGTTGGACTGAGCTCTTGATCAGTTCTTTATAGACCATTCATCCTACGCTGAATCAGTTTCCATTATCGTTCTAAATATTGACTAGAATGACTCTCTATGTATTTCCTTCACTAATCTAAGATGGTCACATGATTGGTCAACAGACGCCCCTATACATACAGCCACAACCAAAACACTTTATCCTTCATACTTACAGGAGGCGGAAGTGACATTAGAGCCGGGGGCGGATGTTTCTTCAGATAGCCGATATCAAACGCTGCAATAAAATGGCCCAGTGCATATAGATCTTACATCATCAGTAGTTCAATTAGTTAAATTAAAAATTTAATTGTATACAACTGTTGCTATTCTTGAAGAATAAACCTGTAGGAGAGATTGTGTGTGTGTGTGTGTGTGTGTGTGTGTGTGTGTGTGTGTGTGTGTGTGTGTGTGTGTGTGTGTGTGTGTGTGTGTGTGTGTGTGTGTGTGTGTGTGTGTGTGTGTGTGTGTGTGTGTGTGTGTGTGTGTGTGTGTGTGTGCGTGGCTGGGTGCGTGGCTGGGTGCGTGTGCATGTAGTGCCTTTGCCAGTGAGAGCCTTAGAGTGCGTGCGTGTGCGTGTGCGTGCAGTGCCTACGTCAGGTCTGAGAAAGCACACGATATTACCTTTACTGGGCTTCTTGTCCTGACGCCTATACGAGGACACGTGGCTGGGGCGCTGGGGCGACACTGGCCTACCAGGAGATACAGTGTGAGTTTTACATGTGCGACAACAACCTGGCTGATGATGTCAATATTTGCACTGCTCTGTACATCCACGTTATATGCATGCAGCACTCTTTTAACGTTTGAAGACTTTAACGAGAATAAATCTCAATGAAACCGAACCCCTTTAGTCCCTGAAGAGCAGACTTGACCCGTGAATCTGAGAACATGTTTATCCGGACGATTAACTCGGACAGTAACAACTCTTTTAATAGGGGAAGAATAGGCATTGCAAAGTTCATGGGTCACTGACACCATCTCGTTACATGCATGTCCTTAAGAATTAAATGGGTTTATATTGCTAAAATGGGAGTCGAACCCGGACCTTGGGACCTTTTCCTCTAGGGCACCCCTAGAAAAGACTTTTTCTACACAGGCTTAGAAAGACAACTCCATACTGCCACACGATCGTATGATGGCGTCCGTGGGGACAAATACTACCTCTTTCGGCGTTTGTAGGCGTAGCAAATCACAACGACGGTAACGGAGATGAGGACGACCCCGAGCAATACGCTGACTGTGATGATTGCTATACCAGCGGTTGTCTCCGCCCAAGGGGTCACCACCAGGTGGTATGAGGTTACAGCCTCGATATGGAAATATTTCATGGCTCCTGCTGCAATGGAGGCACAAAACAAATAGACGATTGTTGAAACTGACGTTCAGGTCTTGTATGTCCTGTTAATGCATCTAGGCATTCATCATTCAGTGTCCTTGATCTTCTCAACACTCATGGGATTAGGGGTAAAAAATTCCTTAAAACCTTATCATCAATAGTATACACCACTTTAAGCGACAACTTCAAGTACAGTCAGGCAGCATTAATCCGAAACTGCAGTTTTTCATCAAAAACATTCGGATAGTGAAACGTACGGACTGCTGAAACGAACCGGATCGGATATCGCGGGTGTGTCTGCCACAAATCAGCGGGAAGCCCTCGCTGTTACTGTGTGTAGGATATGAACATTAACATAACAATTTGTTATACAACGTTTTTATGACAAACCGTCATAACATCAAATTTGAAATGTGATTAGGTTTAACGTATTAATAAACTTCTGTAATTGTTTGATACTATGTCCTGTAATTTGAGTAAATTATCCATTCTTTGGCGTCTTTACGTGGCAAACGGATTGTACTGGATCTGAACACCCTCAAAGCCACACCTACCTGTCAGTTGTACTAATGGATCTGAACACCCTTCAAGCCACACCTACCTGTCAGTTGTACTAATGGATCTGTCAGTTTTCCAACCGGATCTGAACACCCTCCAAGCCACACCTACCTGTCAGTTGTACTAATGGATCTGAACACCGTTCAAGCAACATCTACCTGTCAGTTGTACTAATGGATCTGTCAGTTGTCCTACCGGATCTGAACACCCTCCAAGCCACACCTACCTGTCCGTTGTCCTACTGGATCTGACCCTCCTTCAAGACACGCCTACCTGGCAGTTGTCCTACTGGATCTGAACACTCTTCAACCACACCTACCTGTCAGTTGTCCTACTGGATCTGAACACCATCCAAGCCACACCTACCTGTCAGTTGTCCTACTGGATCTGAACACTCTTCAACCACACCTACCTGTCAGTTGTCCTACTGGATCTGAACACTCTTCAAGCCACACCTACCTGTCAGTTGTCCTACTGGATCTGAACACCCTTTAAGCCACACCTACCTGTCAGTTGTCCTACTGGATCTGAACACCCTCCAAGCCACACCTACCTGTCAGTTGTCCTACTGGATCTGAACACCCTTTAAGCCACACCTACCTGTCAGTTGTCCTACTGGATCTGAACACTCTTCAACCACACCTACCTGTCAGTTGTCCTACTGGATCTGAACACCCTTTAAGCCACACCTACCTGTCAGTTGTCCTACTGGATCTGAACACCCTTTAAGCCACACCTACCTGTCAGTTGTCCTACTGGATCTGAACACCCTCCAAGCCACACCTACCTGTCAGTTGTCCTACTGGATCTGAACACCCTTTAAGCCACACCTACCTGTCAGTTGTCCTACTGGATCTGACCCTCCTTCAAGACACACCTACCTGTCAGTTGTCCTACTGGATCTGAACACACTCCACACCACAGCTACAGGCTGTCCGTCCGACCTGATACTACCCTCCTGCAAGCTAAACCTTTTATCAGTTGTTCTGCATGATCTAAACTTCCTTTATGCTACATCCACACCTGAGTCGTCCTTCGGTAACACAACAGCTTCCAAGTCAAACCTACATGTTAGTTCTCCTACTGGTGTTCCGCTGGGGTCTGACGCAAGACACTGCGACAGCTGGGCTGATGTTAGACATGTCTTGGACTTGTTAATGTTGTCCACGTCGTCGGTGGTGTTGTCAGCCACAGCATACACGTGAACGTCAACGGGACTGGATTGGAAAGGAAGAGCGAATAGAGTTATTCTCGCCAACATCATGCCTCTAGTTATCTTGGAAGTATGTTTATTCTGGTTTCTTGTATGTATATTTCAGTACTTAAGGCCACAGGCTTATAGTACATTACAATACAAAATATACAATCAGACATAGTATAAAAATATAAATAGAATTGTAAAAGCTCATCCAGCTAGATTGCAGACTCATTTTGCATATACGTTAAATCTGTACATGGAGGCATGATAAATGAACAAAGCTAAATCTTGCAGAACTTTACCATTTGTATTTAAAAACAATAAATAAAATTTAGTTAAATTTGGGTAAGTAAAGTAATAGGGTTGCAGATATCTTTCTTTAAATTGTAAGTAAACAGGACTTACAAGCAGAAAATGATACTCATCTTCAACTGAACTTAAGTTGCAAACATTACAAATTCTTTGGTCCCAACTAATGTTTTTATAACGTCCCGTTTCAATAAAAAGATCATGAGTGGAACATCTAAAACGTGAAAGAGCAGTTCGGAACTTTTAAACATTAATCTTAAAAAGGTAATCTTCCTGAATTATTTGTGATTTAAATAGTTTGTAATAAAAACACTTATTATTAAAGCCAGTGAAGCAGTCCATGTCTGTATATTCATATCTTTTAGCCTTTGTGTTAATGACAATACAAAATTTGATTTTGAATACACATTCTGATTTTGCCAAACTTGTCCATAACCACTACTGAAAAGTAGCTCTCTGACTCCAGTAACCCAGTTTTTCTTTCCATTTTTATCATAAAGTAACATCTTATTATAACAGTTTTCGGGGGGTCTGTATGAAGGCATATCAAGAAGTCTTAACCAGTATTTGATAGCCCTAATATTTGAGTGTAGATAAAGTGGAAACCGACCACACTCACCATATACTATCAGGCAAGATGTACGTATTTTCACACCTAAGAATGTTTTACAGGCATATAAAAAAAAGTTCTATCACATCAAACTCTTGTAAACCCCACACTTCTGAACCATCTTATAAAATTGGGAGTATTTTAACATCAAATATTTGGAAAAATGATTGGTATGAAATATTTCCCAACAAACTCAAGCGTTTGAAAATACTTACAGAAGCCTTTTTTGCTTGGATTGTTGCCTCATTTGAATGTTTCTTCCATAACAGATCCCTACTGAAGTAAACACCTAGATATATATATTCTGTAGTTTCTAACGTTTCTCCTTTAAAGGACCAGTACTCACTACGTGACAACTGCCCCCCATTCATAAATACAAGATCTTTTGTTTTATTTCTGTTGACCGTTAATTTCCATTCATCACAGTTTCAAGTTCATTAATTTGTCTCTGTAGACCTTTGACTGTGGATGAAAACAGAATAATATCATCTGCAAACAACAGTAAGAATAGCTGGGTTATATCGGGGTGAAGCTGGATATCGTGATTGCAGTTCTCGTTAATTTTGAGTAGCTAATTCTTTAATGAAAAAGGTAAATAGAAACGGACTCAAAACGCACCCTTGTCTAACTCCTAAGTGGCTGATAAAAGTTTTTGAAATTTCATTATTGATACGTACACACACCTTTACATTCTCATAAATACTACATAAAGGTTTATTCATTTTGATACTTAGACCATGAGTTTTTAAAAGATTCCATAGCTTATGCCTCTGCACTGAGTCAAATGGATTGACAAAGTCAACGAAGAGTACGTAAAATTTCCCTCTTTTGACACTAAGGTATTTAATGACTATAGCTTGGAGGATAAAAACATTATCAATTGTTGAATAACCTCCTCTAAAACCTGCTTGTTCTGGTTTCTTATACGTGATTGCCTTCTCCGTGAACAAGCCGAGGTCGCGTGGCTGGAGTACTGATTGGGCGTGGGGCAACAAATACGTGCAAGGCGGGTGCTGCCGAACACAAGGCGGATGCTGCCGAACACAAGGCGGGTGCTGCCGACCACAAGGCGAGTGCTGCCGAACACAAGGCGGATGCTGCCGAACACAAGGTGGGTGCTGCCGAACACAAGGCGGGTGCTGCCGAACACAAGGCGGGTGCTGCCGAACACAAGGCGGGTGCTGCCGGCCATGTTTACCCTTTTCGCGAAAACACGATGTCGTTAGTGATTCTTACTGATCGGTCTACATTATCGTTTTATCGATATTTTGCCTTTTACACCAAATGCAACCTGTTCCGACAGAGAATTCAGAGTGACCATTTTCTGCCTTTGCCACGTTATAACTGCACATGAAGAATGAAAAGTCGTTACGAAACATGGCGTCTTTTAGTGACTCTGGACATTTGTTGAAATATGAAAATGTGACATCTGGTGAGAATATCTGGACTGGTGAAAATGAATTAAAATTTGTGTTTATAACTAGTCACATGGTTTCTTCCTTTATTCTACCGACCAGTTGTGAAGGGTATATCTGTCAATGAAATGAGACAGCCCCTCTGGGGGCATATCTTGAGCATCAGTATAATATGATATCTTCACACAATATAATGGTATCTTCACACAAACATAACAAAATGTAATCAACTTGTTTTATGTGTACATTGCATAATTACCCAATTGTAGTTTGGTAAATGAACAACTGGACTTGCCTAGTCGACTGCAGCAGTTTTCGCCTGGAGGATGTCGGGATCACCGCCGAGCCACTCCTCGTCTCCACACACCACACTTTCACAACGGCGGACGGGTAGCTGATCTTGACAATGGATGCTATGTTAGGTATGAACACTGCACTGTTTGCTTCAAACGCAGCTTCGTCTATGCTCAGTCTACATGTGACCGCCACGTCATTGAGATCTAACGTGTCCACGCGGATAACGGCCGGCGTGGATGCGTTGTGTGACGGGGTCCCTCCATCTCGTGCTGAGGCCGTCAGTATGTAGCGGGAACTCTTCCCAGCTTGAGATTTCATGGAAAAGACTCCTAAGGAAGGAAACAAATCAGGATCTTGTTCTAAACCTAATACAATTTCCAAGGTATATGATTGGTGTGTCTAGCAACTCACATCACATATGCCCAGCTGCTGCCTATGAGAGAAACGCCTACGTTGATGAAACCCAGGAGCAGTAGTATGATGATAGGAAATCATGATGGGTGCTCATCACAGATACGAACCAACCATCAGCGGATCCGGGCTCATCTAATGTGCGCAACTCTGCAACCTTTAGACGACAGGGCTACCTATACCCACTGACGTGATTCTGCAGTAAACTAAGCAGTATAGATTTAACAATCTTGTCAAACTATGTATTGCTTTCCCTGTGTTCGCCTGTTCGGTGATCGTTGTCCAAAGTTTAGGTACAGGTAGATTTTAGAGACGCACTTTCACTTGTAGATTGTGTGATACATGTTCAGTGAAAAGATGGTGTTTCCATTTGTATCGATAGAGTGAGTGAGTGAGAGAGTGAGTGAGTCAATGGTACATGCGGATAGAACAGAATACTTTACAGTCATGAAATGTTGTAACAGAATTGTTGTAATACTTTCCTTAAGAGAAATGAATATTACAAATTCATAACTCAAAATATGTACATGTGCTTTTAGTGACTTGGGCACATGTGTAAGATTTGGTTTATACCCACATTTGCGAAACTCCTATGCATTTGCAGCTTCTTTAGAAACACCTAATTTGAAAAAGTGATTAAGAAACTAAGATTGTTTGTCCCTTTGTTGTAAACGCTGCATTCAGCAATATTCCAGCTATATAGCGTCGCTCTGTAAATAATCGAGTCTGGACCAGACAATCTAGTGATCAATGGCATTGGCATCGATCTACACAACTGAGATACGATGACATGTGTCAACCAAGTCAGCGAGCTTGACCATTCAATGTTACGACAATAATGGGTTGCTGAAGACCCATTCTAATCCGGATTTGATAGGGTTCACACAATAAGATGTTTAGCAGTGTTCTTCCTATCGGCCTCTGGTTTATATATGCCTTCAGATCGATGTAACATGCGCGTTTACATGATGTCATAATATCGGTTCGATCTTTACTCCCTGTATACTAGTACCTGAATCTGGGTCAATAGTGAACAGGTAATTAAACACGTTCCTCTCCAGGAAGAACGTGATTTGACCATTTTCACCAGTGTCTGCATCTGTAGCCGTCACGGTGGTGATGGAGCTGCCACAGACGCCGGTGTAAGCAACTTCAGTATTGTAAAACACCGGATACATTACAGGTGGATTATCGTTGACGTCGATGACATGGACGGTGACGTTGGCTGTCGACGTGAGTGATCCACCATCTTCAGCCCGGACGGTGAACATATACAAGGACCTATCCTCCCTGTCTACGGTCTTACGGAGACAAATCCTTCCTGAAGCTGACTCTATGCTGAATATGTCAACAGCAGGCGGAGGGTATGTTATAGACAACGTTACGCTGCCGCTGATGCTCACGTCTTTATCCGTCACCGTCACCGACGTAATGCAGCTGCCTTTTGGGGCGTCCTCTACCACCCAACAAGAGTACAGAGCTGAGCTGAACTGTGGCGCGTGGTCATTGACATCTGTGACTGTCGCAGAGACGGTGGTGGAAGCTGTTAGCGGAGGGACGCCGGTGTCCTGGGCAACCACCACGAACACGTACCTGTCATTGGTCTCTCTGTCAAGTCTACCTGCCGTCACTATGACGCCACTGGTACTGATGATGGAAAAATGCGAGGATTCGCCTTCTAGGAACTTATCTGTTTTGTACCTCACAGTCTTGTTTCCTACATCTGCATCCGACGCGGACACCGTACCTACCGTTGTTCCGACCTTCACGTTCTCTGCTATTGTAAATGAGTACGTGATACTCCCAAACACTGGGCTGTTGTCATTGACATCGGTCAGGGTGACGGTCAACATGAAGTTGTGTGAAGCGGTCATTCCGAGTCCATCGGTGGCATTGAAGGTGATGGTGTATGATCTGATGCCTAGGTCACAGTCCAAGACACGTGTAGTCCGGACCTCCCCGGTAACTGCATTCACGACAAACACCCCAGAGGAAGGACTGCCATTACCTAAGTCAATATGAAGAAAATATACTGAAATTACGCAATTCTTCAAGCCGTTGAAACATGGAAGCTCCGCCCCATCCCCTCAATAAATCCATCCATCTACCACCTATCCATCCACACATCCGCCCGTCCATCCATCCATCCATCCGTCCATCTATCAATCCATCTATCCCCCCTTTCACCCACCCTCCCATCCACCCAGCCAATATTACGTGTTGAACCATCAGGAACATCAACTTGGAACTTACTTGCCGATATGTCCGTAATCCGATACAACACCGTGCCTCCAATCCCGAAATCTTCGTCTACCGCTGCAATTGTGGCGACGTGTACCCCGACCGGTAGACCTTCAGCAATGGACACGTTAGCCGTCGTCATCCACTGTGGCGGTTCGTTAACATCCTCCACGTCAATTATCACTGTCGCTGTTGACGTGAACGCTGGTGTCCCGCCATCGACTGCGAGGACGTACAAGGTGATGGTGGGGTCTTCTTCTCGGTCTACCGTTGTATTGAGTAAAATTGTACCAGTGGAGCTATTTATAAAAAAATGGGATGAATGTCCTGAATGAAGGGAATTTAGGGAATATGTTATCCGAGAGTGGTTGCCGATATCCCTATCTGTAGCGGACACTGTGAGGACACTGGGGTTGACCTGTTGCTCCATGACAGATCCCCTGTAGGTGGTGGCACTGAACACAGGGTAGTTGTCATTGATGTCGGTGACATGTATAACGATGGTGGCAGTTCCTGTTTGGCGAGGTTGGCCTTTGTCTATAGCCTTGACCAAAGCTACGTAGACGTCCTGACTCTCCCGATCTAGTCCCCCTGTAGTCCTGACCACGCCACTGTTCTGGTCAATAGTAAAATGGGACGGCGCTCCTTGCAGAAACACATCTAAGGAAAACATAAACTCTCCATTTTGTCCTCCGTCGGAATCATTTGCAGTTACTGTTCCTACAGAAGTTGAGAAGGACGCATTCTCCATGACGGAAAATGTGTACGGTGTCCCTTGGAACTCGGGGACGTTGTCGTTCACGTCCAGGACGCTGAGGGTCAGATTTAGACTTGATGTGTTATGAAGGCCATCACTTGCAATCAGCTCAAGGTCGTAGGAGTCAACGGTACCGTCATAATCCAAGGCCACAAGGGCAGACAACTCTCCAGTTAGAGAACCGACTTTGAAATTGCCCATGCCTGCACCTGAGGTAAGACAGAACAACGTGAATCCATTACGCCATACAGTGGACAATGACCATGTGAAACAACGCAAGTGTACAAACTGATGTGTGTGTGTGTGTGCGTGTGTGTGTGTGTGTGTGTGTGTGTGGGTGGGGTGGGGGTTTGGACAGACAGAAATACAAGGAGACGGACGAGGGGTGGATTGACTGACAGACAGAATGTGACAGATGGAGTGAGGATTGGGAGGGGACAACCTTCATACAGACAGGGGGAACACAGAGACATAATGACCTCCTGTGATGATGTAAGTGACGGTACTTCCGGGAGTTGTGTCCGGGTCAGCCGCTAGTACAGTGAAGAAGGGGGAGCCAGGAACGACGGCCTCCGATACGGGAATGGTCTGTTCCAACGTCACCCACACAGGGGCATTGTCGTCGACGTCTTCAACCTGAGAGAAACATTACTACATCACACGCATGGAAATCAATGGATCACAATAATGACACACGGTCACCTACCATGTGTTTATACACTTCTCTGGATGGTACACAGGAACATCATGCTGTGGTTTTATGGCTCTAGTCTCGTGTGTAGGCATAAAAGATATGTGCACATATATACGTGATTGAGACATAGACATTTGTGGATGGAACGACAATGCTGGCGTGTTATGCATGGTGAGATGTACAATGCTGTTCACGCTAAAATACGTACTAAAATACTTAGATGATAGTACGCCTTTATATTCAGTAGAACACATTATGTGCCATTCGATGTTTAAAATTGTTTCATCAAATACATGTATATTTTTTAGAACTGAAATGCATATAACTGTGAACCTGCACGACGATGGTGACGAAAGCGGTGTGACGTGCCGATACATTGTGGTCGTCGTAGACGTGGACGGTCAAGGTGTACAAAGACGTCGTCTCGTAATCAAGGGAACCATCAGTCGTCACTAACATCCCTGACGTGATGAACTGTGAACTGGGGTCCCCGGAAACAATATTACACCACATTGTGGCACCGGCATCGCCATCGGCGCAGACAAGGGAAGCCACGACAGAGTCTGCAAATTCATGCAAATACTTTATAACGGTCCATGTTATAGAAAACAGGTACCAGATCTTTCTATAATAGTCTGGCTGAAAATATCGTGAATTCAAGATTCAAGACGTTATCTGAATATGGGCTTTTTCATACAGCGAAATAGAGCTGACAAAATATGTACCACTGTTTGCATTTTCTGGGATTGCAACATGAACGTATGGTGTACACGTTGGAGCGTTGTCGTTGACGTCCTCTATATTGACGGTTATGTCCAGGTGGTCGGTGTTGCCTCCCCGGTCCTCCACCCACACGGTCAGTGACAGAGTGTGGTACCCTGCGTCGTAATCAATGGGGCTCCGTACTGATACATTCCCCGTACTCCCGTCTATAGCGAAGAACATACTGTTGGGGCCTGAAATGAAAGTAGAGATGTAATATATCAAGACAAAACAATTAGTGGTCAGCGATTTTCTGGGTAACCACCCTCACTTCCTTCCACACCTGGCTACACGACTCCCCTCTGTTGGTCCTGGCATGTTTGTTCGGTCATGCATCATTAATAACTCAGTGAGAGCCATTTGAGTACATATGTAATCCATTTGCTGACCCATGTTGAAAATAATTTGTATGTGTAACTTGTTGTTTAGAAACTTCTTCAAGTAGGGTATCTGGTTGCTATTGTGTTTAATCCTTTGAGGTGAATCCTCTTTCCACTAATCTTCAAACACCCGGAAATAAAATTCGTTTTGAAAGAACGTTCATCTTGCAAACACAGGCGTGTGGTTCAAAAGACAAATATTAATTTTCTCGTTTGAGGTGTAGAGTACAGATTTGGGCCACCCGTATTTTCGAACCACATTTCATCACAGGGTTCTAGATTTTATTTTCGAGACAAATTAAACATGTTTCTAAGGTAGCGTACATTGTGCCATGTGAATGATGTTGCTTTCATTCTAAAGCTTAAATAGTTTCAGAAATGTTGCCAAATAATGTATATCATCTCCTTATTCAGACTAAGTAGGTCAATACAATCATTTGTGTGGTGGTGGTGTGAAAATATATGATACCCTGCGTAGAATAAACAATTATCATGTTTCGTTATACGGACATATAACGCAGTGGATGATTTCAGCTTGCGCATAAAGGAGTGTATACAATGAGTTGTGTTAGTGGAAGGTGGTTCCTCCGTTTGGTCCACGATTGCCCGGTCATACCTGATAAAGTGTAGGATAGTTTATCTCCAAATGGCGTCTCAACATCTGTAGCGTTAACGTGCAGGATCTGAGAGGACAGTTCCTCCTCCACCGTCACAACAACCGTGGTAGACGTCAGAGTTGGAGGAACATCGAACACGTTGGTCACAAAATAGTCAGGGTGCCCGTGCAGGTCGTGCCGGCTTTGATGGTGGCTCTACAGAACACCGAAGATGGGAAATATCAAACACCCGCAGCACGTAAGGTCTCCCTCCAACATTAGTAACGCAAAGTGATAGAATCCTACCAGATTGTTACACAGATTTCAACACATCAGTAAACATATCTAAGTGCGCTATATTGTAGGCAATATCAATCATTTAATATTTTGTGTTTGTTGTTCACTGTTGCACTCAATTAAGTGAGTAAGGGTTTGCGCCGCTTTTTGCAATATGCCAGCAATATCAAACGCACGCTCACTCACACACACGCCCGCTCAGGCATATATACAAACAACGCGCACGCGCACACGCGCGCGCACACACACACACACACTCACTCACACAAACACACTCAAGCACGCACACTCACACTCAGGCACATATACAAACAATAAAGGCACGCACACACGCACAGGCACACACACACACACACACACACATTTACCATTAACAAACACACATAGGTAGGCACGCACATACACGCACATTTACCATTAGCAAAACACATACTCAGGCACGCACACACACACACACACACACACACTCAGGCATATATACAAACAAAAAAGAATCACACACACGTCCCGGTATAGTTAACCTATGCCACCACGTCCAACCAGAGTAATGACGTAAAACGCCAATAGGATGTATGTTGTAAATTAGCTTGATACTTTCCCCCTTCAAATGACCATCTCACCTTATTGACAAACTATAGCTGGTGCTTGTAGGGGGGCCTTCATAGTCCAAGGCAGCGCTGACCTGCACCTGCCCTAGGGCGTTGATGAAGAAGCTGGAAGCCGTCGTCATCGTGTACGTCATCCCCGCCACAGACGGATGCACAACGAAAACCGTCATCCCCAGTGGGGCATTTTCAGGTACATTTATAGTCTGTGGAAGGTTAGCAAAGCGCCAGTATCCTGTAGCAAAAAGCGTCATTTAATTAGTGAAATAGTTTAACCTTGTTATCAGCAACATGCCATCAGTATGTTTTATGATTGTGTAATTTATTGCTAAACACTGTTTTTCATTTCATTGTTCCTGTTCAGATTCTGTTGTTAAAGACTTAATGTTTTATGAATATTCAGAATGTGTTACCATCAAAGGAAGCGGATGGAACCCAGGAAATCGGAAAACAAGTCTTAAAAACTAAACTTAACCTTGTAACCACCTCCAACCACGGGTTCGAAACCTAGGTTCCACACTTCATTGATCGTAGTTGTCATACCATTATCTTCACCCTAGGGTTTAGACCTGTGTGGTTGTGTATGTTTCTCTCAAAGGGATATGAAGAACTAAAGAAGAAACTCAGTCGTTCAACAAACTTTTAAAGAGATGGTTCGGGTCCGTAGAAGTTCCGACGCAATGTAAAAGGTCTGGAACTACTGACTAGGCTGACACGACGAATGATGACACCCGATATGTTAGGTAATGTTGACTGTGGCCTTAAAAAATATCAGCACCACCACCACCGCCTCACACCACTTCTGTACCACCTAATACCGTTCTATATCACACAATCTCTGTATCAACTAACGCAAATATGTATCACATAACTTCTATAAGACCACGTCCTCGCCTACAACAATTCTCATCCAATTATCAATTCGTTTTATGTCATGTTTGCATGTGTTTGCACCGCTTCTCAATCACTATCCAGTGAGGTACTCCAGCGTACATTAAATATGGCCATAGGAATCTAATCTAGGCATTCGGTCATACAGGCAGGTCCTCAATCCACTTGCCTATCCAACTGAACGAAATAATCTTCAAATGGTTTCAGTACCGTCTCACCTTTCGAACCAATGGCAATGCATCCAACCACCAGCACCAAGAACGGCAACAGGAACCACGTCGACATCATTGTAGTTGTCGTGCGCCGTGTACCTACACTGAACTCATCACACTGTTCGAAGCCAATGGCATGGATGTGTTAAGAGCTTGGGCTCCAGCACGCGTTGACCCTGATCACATTGCAGGAGCGTTACCTTACCTGACTCCAGGATACGTCTGTGTAGGGCTACATATCTACAGTGCTAGAGGCGGCTAGGGGCGGGAACAAGGGTAGCCTCCCCGTCCAAACAGGCCTACGGTAAAGTACGCTGTCACAGTAACGTGGTCTTACACCTATCGATCAGTTTAGCTTTTGCATATCTTTCAACTTAGCGGATTTTCTTAACGATGACTTGTCATCAAAGTTTATCTTTGAAAATATCCGAGCGTTATAACGGTTGGTGAGGAAGGGGACTCGAAGTTAGCCGCGATCTTACTCACACATTGATTAACCCTTTGTTTGATATTGGACACTTAATTTTCATGCTTTGGAAACCTATTGAATTGTAATATTACATTTTACAAATATCCATGGGCAGCAATGCAGGCTTCAATGCGGCGGGGGCATACTACTGATCAAAGAAGTTAGAAAGTCGTGGTCCATGCTGTCCCAATATCGGACCACCTCTTCTTTTATTTCAGCAATATTTGACACTTTGCTTCATAAGTCCCCAAACAGTTTCCATTGGATTTAGGTCAGGGCTATAGCTTGGCCAATCTAATAATGTCATATTTTGGGTCCGAAACCAGGCCTGTGAATGCTTTGAACGATGTTTTGGGTCGTTGTCCAGCTGGAAAATCCAAACATTTCCATAGAACACGTGAGCAGAGAGAAGTAAATGTCCCTCGAGAATATCTGTGTACCGCTCACTGTTCATATTCCCTTCAAATACACAGAGGGGCTTTGCCCCTTACACAGATATGCCACCCCACACGTTAAATTTCGGACTGTACTTTGGGCGCTGATACAAAGGTTTTTCAGTTTGTTTGGTCCAGAAATTCAGTGTATTAGGAAACAGCCACACAGAACTTTCATCTGAGAAAATCACATTATCCCAGTTACAATTTCTTTGCTGTAAACACCAGTTCAACCTTCGCTCCTTTTGTTCAGGTTTCATGATCGGTGATGGAATTCCTCGACTTTTCTGCCAACCCATTGCATGCAGCTGAGTTCTAATTGTCCCCTTACAGACAGCCACAGTTCCTCTATCAATCATATCCAGCCTTAAGTTTTCTAAACTCCTTCATTTGTTTTTAGAAACAAGACTACCAAGCCGCCTCCTGTCACCGACAGTCAATTTTCTGGGCCTACCTGCGCCTCCCTGGTGCTCAATGCCATATCCATTTGCAATATTTTTCAAAACACGATAAACAGTGGACAAAGGGATGCCTGTTCTACTTGAAATCACTTAAGCTGATCTGATGTCCTTGTTATAATACTCTAAAATCAACTTCCTCTTCTACAATTCATCCATACTGAGGATTACTGAAAATGTCGTCTGCTAGCAAGTAAACAAAGGGGGATAACTCTTCACAAACTAATGAAAAGGGATTAACTGAGTTGTCTCTCTTGAATGAAACCAAGCACTTGATAGCTGGTCAAGGTTATTTATACTAGAAATCCAGTAAAACATATTCCTAAATTCGCAATAATTTCTGGTCATACTATACCTATCTCCAAAATACGCTGGGTTCGCATATGATATAATATCCAGTTGTTCCTATATCTTCAACATGGTATGGGTTGTTTGATGCCGCCTTAGTTTACTGTGACATATAGACGGGTACTCTATGTGTACGCGTGCATTTGTGCGCAAAACAACTGCTATTTTGAACCAGGTAGCTATATTTGAGGGACTGAATGCCAATATAGGTGTGCACTACACGGAAGTAAACGTGCGCCCGTATGCTGGTGTTATCGACCGAGATTTCACCTGGACACTTCTCGTCCTCTTCTATATATGCAGCGCATAGGCGGATACACCCCACCCACCCCTTTGGTCCTGAAAGTTTATTAAATAACCACTGAAACACTCGTGGAAACAGTCGAAAATGAACTGTTCAACAGCCACACCCACATCAACATCACCCCTCATCCACCTCTATACTGCACGACCAACATCACACCCCTCATCCATCTCTATATACTGCCACATCAACATACTGCACATCAACATCACTCCCTCATCCACCTCTATACTGCCACATCAACATCACCCCTCATCCACCTCTATACTGCCACACCCACATCAACATCACCCCTCATCCACCTCTATACTGCCACACCCACATCAACATCACCCCTCATCCACCTCTATACTGCCACACCCACATCAACATTACCCCTCATCCACCTCTATACTGCCATCCACCCACTGCCACATCAATCATCACCCTCATCCACCTCTATACTGCCACACCCACATCAACATCACCCCTCATCCACCTCTATACTGCCCACACCCACATCAACCATCACCATTCCTCCATTCCACCTCCTTCCATCCTGTCCATCTGTGTCCATTTCCCCATCCATCCATTCCTCCTTCCATCCATTCCATCCACCTCTGTGTCCATTCTTCCTTCCATTCCATCCATCTCCTTCCCATCCATCTTCCATTGCTCCATCCATTCCATTCCTCCATTCCTCTTTTCCTTGTCCATCCACTTCCGCTCCATCCTCCTTGTCCATCCACCCCTCCTTCCATGTCCTTCATTCCCATCATTTGTCCATCCTTCCTTCTTCCACCATCTTTTCCTGATTTTCCATATTCCATTCCATCCTCTTCCATTCCACCTTTTCCTTGTTCCTCCATCCTTCTTCCACCCTCCACTCTTCCTTCCATTCCATCCTTTCCATCCTCCTTCCTTCATTTCTTCTTCCACCCATCCATTCCTTCCATCTTCCATTCTTCCTTTCCATTCTCTTTCCATCCATTCCTCCATCCATCCATCTTCCTTCCATCCTTTCTTCTTCCTTCCTGCCATCCATCCTTTTCCTGTCCATCCACCTCCATTCCATGTTGTCCTTTCCATGTGCCATCAGGACCATCTACCTTTTCCATTCCATCTGTTGTTACCCCGTCCACCACCCTTCCTTGTCCATCCATCTGTCCATCGGCATCCATTCTTTGTTGTCCACATCCGGCTGTCGTCCACCTCTTTTTCCTGGTCCGCAATGTCGGCCGTGTCCGTCTTATGCTATCCATGTGCCACGTGTTGATTCCATCCACCTCTTTTCGTTATTCCACGTCCGTTATCGTCCATCTGTCCATATCCGTTTTGTCTGCCTCTGTGTTATTCTACTTCCGTCAGTTATTCCGTCCGCCGTCTGTCACCTCCGTTACGTCCGGCGTTATTCCTCGATCTGTCGTCCACTGTCCGTCCGTCTTGTGGCGATTGTCCGTCGTCCGTTCTTCCGTCGGCGTCGTCACGTCCGGTATTTTCCGTATTCGTCGTCCGGCGTCGTCGTCGTGTGATCGTCTTCGGCGTCCGCCGTTACGTCGGCGTTATCGTTATCGTCCGTCCGTTCGTTCGTCCGTCGGTGTCGTCGTCGTCGTCCGTTTCGGTCAGTTATTCGTCGGTCGTGTGGTCGGCGTTATCGTCCGCGTCCGTATCGGCGTCCGTCTTCGTCACCGTCCGGCGTTCGGTTATCGGTTATCGTCGGATCTTGGCCTGGGTTGATTCCAGTTACGTCTGCCTGTCGGTGATTCGTCCTTTTCTGGTCTTCGTCATCTCTATGCTGCCACACCCACACCAGCACCATCCCTCATCACCTCTATGCACCTCCACATCAGCATCACCCCTCATCTTCCTCTATGCTGCCACACCCACATCAGCACCACCCCTCATCCCACCTCTGTACTGCCACTCCATCGCTTGTTACCCCTCATCCCGCCTCTATGCCCGCCACACCCACATCAGCACCACCCCTCATCCACCTCTGCTGCCACACCCACATGCCAGCACCACCCCTCATCCACCTCTATACTGCCACACCCACATCAACATTACCCCTCATCCACCTCTATACTGCCACACCCACATCAGCAACACCCCTCATCTACACTCTACTGCACCCCACAAGATCCCCACTCTAGATCCACTTCTATACTACCCCACACCACATCAGCATCACCCCTCATCCCACCTCTACCCTGCCACATAGACATTCACGTCTTCGTCTCGTTCACGTGGAAATGTACATTCCAGGTTGGAATGTACCTTCAGTAACCCATGCTTGTCGTAAGGGCCCCAAGACGCGATCGTTTGTTCAGGCTCCTTGACTTGGATGACACATGTCATCAGTTCCCAACTGCTCAGATCGATGCTCATGCTGTTGATCACATGATTGTCTGTTCAAGACTCGATTATTTACCCACCGCCGCCATATGGCGGGAATATTGCTGAGTGCGGCGTAAAACTAATCACTCCTCCTCCTCGTTCCTTCTACATTACCACATCTACAACGTCTCTATACCATCCACATCGGCACCACATGTACACCGCCCACTCTAACACCTATCACTACACAATGTGCGGATATGGTGCATGTGGACTTATAAGGACGTAACCTGGAATTTGACGTTGTATGCACAACCCTGTTATGTTCTGTAATCCCGCGATGCGTCATATCTCACAGGAATCCCCATGTAAATCACAGCCAGCTGTACTCAACTCCACAGCTTTGATTTACTCATGAAGGCTTTACCTTAGAGGCTCAATGGCCCAGGATAGAACGACTGGGCTGAAGGGTGGGGGTTGTCATGTTTATATCTTCTTCTTGACTTTTATTAAAGCGTGATTGGCAACGCACGCCAACGGTGGCGGTATACATGGGGATTACTGTGGATTTGTTGCCATGGTAATGTTTATGTCAGAGTGCCCCAAGGATCTATGCAGTGGGGTAAGCGTTTGTTGAAGTAAATGTCGTCAATACACGCATAAACAAACTCGTGTTTCCTCGTGCTCGTTGAAGAGTCTAGGTGCCTTTGCTAGAAGTTCTCTTAGGCCCACATCAACATCACCCTCATCCACCTCTATACTGCCACACCCACATCAGCACCCTCATCCACCTCATACTGCACACGCACCCACATCCACCTCTATACTGCCACACCCACATCAACATTACCCCTCATCCACCTCTATACTGCCACACCCACATCAACATCAC